TTGTGCATGTGGGTCCTTTTCCCATTTATATGGTCTCTGGAATATAGACCTAGAAGTGTTATTGTTGGGTCAAAGGGTATGTACAGTTTTATAGCCCTTTGGGCATAATTCCAAATTGCTCTCCAGAATGGTTGGATCAGTTTATAACTCCATCAACAATTCATTAGTGTTCCAATTTTCCCACATCTTCTCCAGCATTTATCACTTTCCTGTTTTGTCATGTTAGCCAATTGGAAAAGTGTGATGTGGTACCTCAGAGCTGTTTTGATTTGTATTTCTCTAATCCATAGTGATTTAGAATATTTTTTCATATGACTATAGATAGCTTTAATTTCTTCCTCTGAAAACTGCCTGTTCATATCCTTTTACCGTTTATCAATTGAAGAATGACTTGTATTCTTATAAATTTGACTCAGTTCTCTATATATTTTAGAAATGAGGCCTTTATCAGAGACACTGATTGTAAAAATTCTTTCCCAGTTTTCTGCTTCCCTCCTAATCTTGGTTGCATTGGCTTTGTTTGTGCAAAAACTTTTCAATTAAATGTAATCAAAATTATCCATTTTGCATTTCATAATGTTCTCTATCTCTTGTTTATAGTCATAAATTCTTCTGCTCTCCATAAATCTGATAGGTAAAATATTCCTTGCTCTCTCAGTTTATATTATAGTATCAGTCTTTCTATCTAAATCCTGTACCCATTTTGACTTTATCTTGGTATAGGAGGTAAGATGTTGGTTTCTGCCTAGTTTCTGCCATACTATCTTTCAGTTTTCCCAGCAGTTTTTGTCAAATAGTGAATATTTATCCCAAAAGCTGGAGTCTTTGAGTTTATCAAATAATAGATTACTATAGTCATTGACTACTGTGTCTTGTGTACTTCACCTATTCCACTGATCCACCACTCTACTTCTTAGCCAGTTCCAAGTAGTTTTGATGATTGCTGCTTTATAATACAACTTAAGATCTGGTATGGCTTGGCTACCTTCCCTTGCATTTCTTTTCATTAATTCCCTTGATATTCTGGACCTTTTGCTCTTCCAGGTGAATTTTGTTATTATTTTTTCTAGTTTTATAAAATAATTTTTGGTAGTTTGATTGGTATGGCACTGAATAAATAAATTAATTTAGGTAGAATTGTCATTTTTATTATATTAGCTTGGCCTACCCTTGAACTACTCATGTTTTTCCAATTATTTAGATCTGACTTTATTTGTGTGAAAAGTGTTTGGTAATTGTGTTCATATAGTTCCTGGGTTTGTTTTGGCAGGTAGACTCCCAAATATTTTATAACGTCTACAGTAACTTTAAATGGAATTTCTCTATCTCTTGATATTGAGCTTTGTTAGTAATATATAGAAATTCTGATGATTTATGTGGGTTTATTTTACATCCTGAAACTTTGCTAAAGTTGTTTATTGTTTCAAGTAGTTTTTTTACTTGATTCTCTAAATATATCATCATACCATCTGCAAAGAATGACAGCCTTGTTCTAGAGAGTACTTTTTATAAGACAGCATGATATAATGGTTAGTACGCTGGACTTGAAGCCAAGAAGATGTGAATTCAAATCCCATTTCAGATATTTACTAGCTGTGTTACTGCAGGTTTCCTCAACTGCACAATGAAAGTATTAGATTCATATAACTTTAAGTTCCCATCCAATTCCAAATCCATTTGCCTATGTAAGCTATGACTCAGGTTCAAATCCTGCCTGAGGCACTTACTAGATGTTACCCAGAGCAAGAGGGCAGCTTAGTGGTGCAGTGGATAAATTACTGGGCTTAGAATCAGTAAGATTCATTCTCACAAGTTCAAATATGGCCTCAGATACTTAGTAGCTATATGACCCTAGGCAAGTCACTTAACTCTGTTCAACTCAGTTCTCTCATCTGGAAAACGAGCTGAAGAAGGAAATGGCAAACCACTTCAATATCTTTGCCAAGAAAACCCCAAATGGGATCATAAAGCGTCAGACATGACTGAAACAACTCAACAACAACTCGGTGCAAGATATTTAAACCCTCTGAGCTTGAGAGGGGAATAATAACACCTACTCCAACAGGGTTGTATTATAGGATTAGAACTGGAAGGGAGCTTAAGAGATCATTGAGTTCAGCCAAACATGCCCATTTTGCAGATGAAGAAATTAAGGCTCAGAGAGGTACAATGGCTGCTCAATCTCACAGGGATAGCTAAGCAACAGGAATAGGATTTAAATGGAGGTCCTTTGACTCTCAATCTAGCATTCTTTACGTAACAGTTAGCTCTTAACATTTCCACTATATCACATTAGGAGAAGAGAAGGGAGGTGGGGGGAAAGCACTTATATAGCACCTACTATGTAATAGGCACTGTGCTAAACACTTTACAAATATAACTTCATTTGATCCTCACAACAACCCTGGAAGATAGACACTATCATCATACTAATTTTACAGTTAAGGAAACTGAGGCAGACAGAAGAGACTTGCCCAGGGTCACACAGCTAATATGTATCTGAAGCTGGATTTGAACTCAGGTCTTCCTGACTAAAGGCCCAGCACTCTATCCACCTAGCAGTTAACTACATTAGAGTCAGTATTAAAGGCAAAGATAAGTTTGGGCATTGCCACTTTTGCCTGAAGAGCCAATGCCCTCAGTGCTTTACAAGGGATGGATACCTCAATTATACCATCTCTGCTCTCATAGAAAAAGCCATCTCCTGATGAAATGAAACTAGGTTATTTATTCATTCATACTGCAAAGTTTGCTCTAAAATATAATCTCTGATATGATTTTTAAAGTTAAATATTACAAAATATAAATATTAAAAAGAGGCTTATTTTTGACAACCAAGGAGGGGAAAGATTAATTCTCAAGTTTTAGAGACTGAACTGAGAAAATGTCCTTAGGTTATCTGGCAAAACAGAAAGAGCTGTGGATTTAAGGGTAGATGGAGTAGGTTTAAATTTAAGTGGCATTAATTTGTATTCTTGGAGAGGTGCCATGGGAAGAATAATGGATCTGGAGAATCTGGATTTGAATCCCAGCTCTGTTACTTGCCACCTCTGTGACTTTAGATAAGTTATTTAACACTCTGGGTCTCAGTTTCCTCATCTAAAAAAGAGAAGAGATTAACTTAGATGACCTCCAAGGTCTCTTGCAACTCTAATTCTACTATTCTATATGTGATTTAGCTTTTCGGAGCCTCAGTTTACAAGATCGTAAAATGGAGATAAACCTCATGAGTCCTACCTAAGGGATTGTTGGGTAGGATCACAGAATTAAAGGAAATAGTTTATAAATGTGAAATGGCCACTAGGTGGTGCAGTGGATAGAATGCCAGTCTTAGAGTCACAAAGACTCATCTTCCTGAGTTCAAAGCAGGCCTCAGACACTTCCTAGCTGTGTGATCCTGGGCAAATCACTTATCCCTGTTTGCCTCAGTTCCTCATCTGGAAAATGAGCTGGAGGAGGAAACAGCAAACCACTCCAGTATCTTTGCCAAGAAGACTCCAAACAAGGTCACAAAGAGACACAACTGAAAATGAGCAAACAAAACTATATAGATGTAAATTATCATCATTATTAATGATAATGATATATCTGCAAACTGTAAAGTTCCATAAAATCCCAATAATGATGATGATGATAATGATTGGAATTCAGGATGTGTATTCCTTACTGTTCACACTTCCTGGGTTTTGCACATGATTGCTCCCTGTTGTCATTATTCCTAAATTGCAAAAGTAGCATTTTGAGACATCAATCTATAAGCATTTATTAAGTGCCTACTATATGGTGGGCACTGTGCTAGTCAATGGACTCACAAATACAAAATTCCTGTAGAAGTTAAATGTACATATGGAAATGTTTTATATGGTTGCACATGTATAACCTATACCAGATTGCTTATCATCTCAGGGAGAGGCTAGAGAGGGAGGGAGGGATAGAATTCGGAACTCAAAAACTTTTAAAAAATGTTAAAAACTGTTTTACATGTAATTTGGGAAAAAATAAAACATTATTAAAAATAAGGTGAGACATGACACTTATAAAAATCAGCAGACTGGAAAGGTAGGAGAGAGCTAGGTTATAAAGGGCTTTAAAAGCCAAAGAGAATAGAAATATGCATAGCATGGTTTTACATACATATATACCTACATGCCTATGCACACAATACAGACATATACACATATATACACATACGTGTCAAATGGTAGACCTCCAGTTGCAGAGAAGGGAGGGAAAAACTTGGAATTTAAAATGTAACAAAAAAAATTTTTTTAAGAAGTTGAATCTTCAAAATCATATGGGTATAGAGGCTGGAGCACTGGACCTGGAGTTAACAAGACCTGAATCCAAATACTGTTTCTGTGACCCTGGATAAGTCACTTAACCTCTGTCTGCTTTAGTTTCCTAAACTGTAAAATGGGGATGATTATAGAACCTACCTCACAGGATTGTTGTATCAAATGAGATAATATTTGTAAAGCACTTAGCACAGTGCCTGACATATAATAGGTATTTAATAAATATTTTTTTCCTTTCTTCATGAACTGACAGCATTTGTCAAATGTGGTCTCAGACATATTTCTAGTAATAGGTCTCCAGTTGGGTCACCAAGATAGTATTCACTAGCTTCCATAAGTGAGAGAAATCTGAGGTAAAAAAAAGTTCCCTCCACCATTCAACATTTTGTAAATATTTATTGTCTACAAAGCTCTTTGCCAGATATGAAGATTAAACAAAACAAAGTTTCTGGGCCCATTTCCCTGACCTGCCATTCTCCCCAAATATTTTGGAAAACTCTCCTTGTTCAACCAGGGAGAATTGGATCTGTAGACTCCCACTCCCAGGTGCTCCCTTCACGTTGAGGAAACCTCTGCCCTTTGTCAACAGATGTATCTTTACCTGAGCCTTGGCTCATGTCTGTCTGAAGAAGCTGCTTGGCTCTTATCACATCAACATTCAATCTTCCAGCGCTTGGGAGATAATTCAGTGACAGCAACAGCTCTCCCAGCTCTACTTCATTCTATGGAGAAAGAAGATAATAAGGAGTTAAAAATGATAGCCACAGTGCTTCCTGAAAATGAATAAGTCAGCAGTCTCAGCCACATTTTCTAGAGCCAAAAAAAATCCACTAAACTAAAATAATACTATATTTATCCTAGAAGAAGAGAAATTATAATCATGTCTTACATTGTTAGGATGGATCACATACTTGGAGTTGGTAAGGACCTTAGATCATCTAGCTCACCCTACTCATTTTGTAGATAGGATTTGCCCAAAGTCACACAGCTAGTAAAAGACAGAACTAGGATTCAAACTCTGGTTTCAAACTCCAAAACTCAAACTCTTTCTACTGCACTTTCCCACTTTCTCTCTCCCATTGGGTCCTCCTCACAAGTCTAAGAGGCATAAGAAAATCACAGAACTTTGGATGGCATTGGTCATTTGGTGTAAAACACAATAAAAAAGAAATCCCCTTGACTAATATAATAGAAAAGGAAAATAATAAATGTTGGAGAGGATGTAGGAAAATTGAGACACTAATGTACTGTTGGCAGAGTCATGAGCTGACCCAACCATTCTGGAGAGCAAATTGGAACTATACCCAAAGGGCTATAAGACCATGCATACCCTTTGACCCAGCACTACCACTACTAGGTCTGTATCCGAAAGAGATCAAAGAAAGGGGAAAAGGATGTATTTGCACAAAAATATTTATAGCAGCTCTTTTTGGAGTAGCAAAGAATTGGAAATTGAGGAGATGCCCATCAATTGGGATATGGGTGAACAAGTTGTAGTATATGAATGTAATGGAATATTACCATACTATAAGAAATGATGAACAGGCAGATTTCAGAAAAACTTGGAAAGATTTATATGAATGGCAAGTCATTTAACCTCCATCTGCCTCTGTTTCTTCTACTGTAAAATGGAGATAACAATAGCACCTGCTTCCCAGAGTTGTTGTGAGGATGAAATAAGATAATATTTGTAAAGCACTTAGCACTGTTCCTGGCACATAGTAGGTACTTAAATCCTTGATCTCTCTCACCTCTGGCACAATGCTTAGCACACACTAGACACCTAACACATGCCTGCTGAACTAATAAATGCAAAGATATTTCTTCATAAAGGAAAAAGAAAATCATAGACCAGTTTTCCAAACTGTTTCCAACACTCCCTCAGCAGAAGCAGTGACCTCAGAGGCTTAAAAATACATAAATAAATTGATCGTGCCCAGGAGACCACCAAGTCACCCCTTTGATTCTAATAGCAAAAAGGAGAAATGATTTCCTTTTTCACTCAGCAGATAATAACATCCTGTGTCTGGAAGGACCATAAGTGGGTTCACAGCCCTAACACAGTGTAGCATACATGAGAACTATCCTAAGGGGAGACAGCTGTGGTTTAAATCAGTAGGCTTTTTCCAAACCCCTTGGCTTCTCAAAGTTCTTTTCTACCACCCCTCCCTTTGCCCTGCCAACCCATGCACCCCCAGTCTTGGAAGCTTTAAATGCCATTGATGGCATGAAGACTAGGAGAATTCCAAGGCTTAATTCTCTCAACTCAGCTTCCTCAAGATCACTTGGACAATCTCACAGCCACTACAACAGGGACAATATCAGAAGGTAACACTTTTCCCAGAAAGTGTCCCTGAAAAATAGCTCATTTCCAGGAGAGAAGTGCCACTGAATTGTTCTGGAGCCTCAAGGAGGCATTGACTGTGCTTGTAAGCCCCAGCAAATTTTGTCCCTCGAGGGCTCATAAATCAGACTAATAACCAAGCAGGTCTCCTTTTTTTAAAAATTTAACCAGATTTCATCTTGAGATGTAATTTGTGGGGAGAGGGTGAAAGGAAAACAAGGGAAGGAAGGCAAAGGGGGGAAATGTCTAATTCAATCAATGTGGTTGATTTAACATTGAAGAAATTTAATTCTATCAATCTAGCATTGTTTGGGGGTTATTTCTTTCAGAGATGGGGCCAACTGAAGGACAATTTAGTCTAGTGAGAAATTAGCCTACATTTCAGTATAATTGCATTGGGACATGGGAGGGGGAAAAAGAGAAAATAAAAAGGACCCAGTATGTCTTAGAAAAAATTTAATTGCACAGGCAATTACTGCTTTTCAATCCAGATTCGGCATAATGCTCTCTCATCATTCTCCACATCTGTTTTCATACCCCAGGATCCCTGTCTGTGAAACAGCCTGTAGAGAACAGTTTGAAAGGCAATTTAGGAAAAAGGATTCCTTTATTATAAGGAAGGGTCTACCACCTCTACCTAACCCCAGCTATAAAATCCTGTCACCAACATTGCCTTTTCAAAGTGGCCCTATAAGATTTAGTCCCAAATAACCAACTGTTATGACTAAATCTTCATTAGGTAGAGAAAAAATTGACAGCCTCCCATCTACCCCAGAAACTTTCAGAAGTAAGGTGGTTGGGGGCAGCTAGGTGGGGCAGTGGATAGAGCACTGGCTCCAGCGTCAGGAGTACCTGAGTTCAAGGCCTCAGACACTTGACACTCACTAGCTATGTGACCCTGGGCAAGTCACTTAACCTTGATTGCCTCACCAAAAAAAAAAAAAAGGAAGAAGAAGAAGTAAAGTGGTCAATAGAGGTAGAAGAATAAATATCTACTAAAAGTACTACCTTGATTCTGTAGCTGGAAAAGGGGTCATACGCTGGGGCATATTTGTCCAGTTCACTCACTGGTAAAGTGGGAATAATAACAACAATAACCCTACCTACTTCGAGCTACTTCGAGGATGGCATCATTTCCTGCTCTCTTGTCATCTTCAGGCTCATTACCTTGCCATCCACACCAAAAATCATGCCGGTAAGAACGTCCACAATTTGGTTGTTTCTTCTGATTGGTCACTGCCTCTACAGACTACTGTGTTAGGAAAACTGTAGCCTTTACTCTTCACTTCATTCCCTGCTCAACAGACATCTGCTTCACAGTCTCACCAATTACCTTGTCACCACAGATACACCTTTTCATCACTCTTCCCCCAATTCTGGAACCTTGGATATGATCAAATCAACTCTATCATTGTTCATGAATGGAGTGTATCAATCTACTAGCCTGTGGCCCCAGTCACCATCCTGGTAAACTTCTACCTAAGTGTCCCCTCCCTGGCCACCACTCTCCTGTGTTGTCTCCCCCATTAGACTGTAAGCTCCTTTGTAAGCAGGGACTGCCTTTGCTTTTGTATCTGCATCCCCAGGACTTGGCACAATGTTGGTAATAAGTGGGAATAAAGTAATAAATGCTTTTTCATTCATTGTTGTTAATGTGATCTCATGTTGCCTATTTTTTTTTGTACTTTTGGAACTGGGGAGAGGAAATAGCAACCATGACTTTAAGAGAATTTGCTCAGTCTACTTTGGGGATTGAGAGGATTGTTAGGAGTTTCCAAGGGCTCTGAGATATGAGGAAAGCCCCCAGTTCCTTTATTGTGCCCAAGGAAACAAATTCTGGATTTCTAATGTTCAGGAACACAACTCCCAAGTATCACTTTTGAAAGCTAACCATTTGTCATTCTCATTACCCTTTTCAAGCAAGCTTAATTTTGCCTTTTTCAGGCACAGAAACAAAGAAAACCCTCTTCCATCCTATTATCTGTAGACCCTGCTTTTCATTATGCATGAATCTATAATGTGGCATCTGTTGATTTCCCAGTGAAGCATCTCATTGGCATGTCCATACTTTCTTGCCCAGGTTGATGACCTATGATCAACAACATACTCCAATTCAAAGTCCTTGAGTTAAAATTCAGACCCAGGAATAGGTGGGCATGTCAACTTCCCATGATGCTTCTCAATGTGCATGCCCTTGATATTATATGAATCAACAGAAACTCACCCCAGCCTCCTCTCCCCAAGCAAGGCCCCCACCTCATATGGCATAAGTAAAGCCATGAAGCTGGACCAGGTTAGCACACTCTGAACATCTAGTAACACCTAGACCTCTGGATCACACAGCTGGAAAAATCATCACTCTACATTCAATCAAAGAACAAGCAAGCATTTAGAAAAGAAAGCCTCTTTGGATCTCCTCTCCAAAGCTTTAGCTTGCAATGTATCTGCCTCAGGTTCCTTCCTACATTTTTCTTATTACCTACCCATCCCTGGATGGGATATACATGTCCTCTCAAGAGGTGACTTCAGAAAGTCCAAGGAAGAGCTGCTGGTTATCCCTGGAAGATCTGAAATGCAGCTCTGTGAATTATTCCTTTCTCCATCTGATTTAGTCAGGCAGGAGTAGATCTCACATGGACACACACATAGATCTTTGCAAAGAGATTTCAAAGAATCTATAGGGCTTCTAAGAGATTATTTGGCCTATTAAAAATCCTTTATACTACTTTCCCTTCCCTCCAAGTCTCCATTTACAAAATCTGGAATGTGGTTCTGTGTCTAACTTTAGCCTCAGTGGTTTTGACAATAGATTTCTGAAAGCACATGCATGTTGTTTTAAAAGGAATGGAGTATAGAGGGAGGGCAAGAGAATCAAAGGGGAAAGACCTTGACAGAGCTCAGCCAAAACCTAGCTGGATGCTGGGAGTGACCCTTTCAGCTCAATGAATCTCTCAGAACTTTTCAGTTGCCATTAGGACTTAAATGAGGCCCACAAAAAAGAAAGAACAGTTAAGGCTACTTATAACAGGAATTACAGTAACTATGTTGTTCCATGGAAAAACTTATATTAACTGATATAAAATACAGTAAGAAGAATGAGAAAAGCAGAACAACATAAGCAAAATATGACAATTTTGTAGCACTTCATGTCATGAAATTATAATCAAGTTTGGCTTCATAGAAGAAATATGAAAATATCTTCCTCTACTTTTTTGCAGAGGAAGAGGACCACAGATGTGGAATACAGTATACAAAAGACTTTACTTCTGTGGATCACTTTTCTTTCTTAGTGTTTTTTTAATTTCTTCATTAAAAGGGATGGCTTACTTGGAGGGGTAGGAATACAGTGGATATGCAGATTTTGTTTAAAAAAAAGGT